CTGTACATTGGGCCGAGGGCGAAGCTTGGGGCTCGCCTCGGTCGGGTCGCGTCTTAGGTTAGATTCGTAATTTTGTTTGGCTGAGGGCTAACCGAGTGACCTGCCTGTAAGGAAAATTCGTGAGGGATATATCTGTAAATACGGGAAAATACAGGCCCGTACTAATTGGATTTCCTACAGCTATCCTAACTGCGAATAGCAGGCCCGGGCTACCCCTAGGACAGACAGGCCCTACAGGCCTAAGCTGATAGACGGTCCTATAGCCTATAGCCAGGTTGGGAGACGCCCTAGAGGCCGAAACAGAATCGGTACTGGTCGGTCAGTCAGTCCGGTCTAGGTCGAGTCTAGGCTAGTTTAGTCTATAGATAGGATGGGCACATCGGTTCGGGGCTTTTGGCAGTTGGTACCAAGTACATCGCGGCTGCACTACGCGTGAACCGGAAGTGGTGACGGCTCAGCGTTGTGGGAGACAGGCATAGCCAGACCTTCGGAGCGTCGGTCATAGCTGGGACCTGCGCTGTACACTGCCAGCACGTAGGGGCTGTCAGAGGTCTGGGTTATCGAGGTCTGCTGGAGGCTAGAGAAGTTGGTGCCCTGCTGGACCCTCCTCTGGAGTGGGGTTCCAGGGTTGTGGCGCTGCAGCCATAGCTGCAGCTTCTTCAGAGGTCATCTTGTCAGGATTTGGGTGGCGCTGCTGCAGACTTCCACCCGGGAAGTCTTCCGACACTTTGCCATCATCAGATACTGTGGCGCTGGTCTTCCTCTTCATCCTCTGTGTGGCGCTTGGCCTCAGAGGCCTGTTTCAGGGTGGCGCTTCCCCTTGGAGGCTGTATCTGGGTGGCGCTGGATGTTTCAGGGACTCAGGGGTGGTTCGAGTGGTTACTCAGGGTTGGGGAGTGAAGCGCTGCTCATTTCTGAGCAGCGCACTGTAGTTCCGGGGTTATTCTGACAATTCGAGACTCTGAGTTTAATAAACAGTGTGATACTGGGTTTGGACTATCATCGTTTCATGGTTTCCTGGATGTGATCTGCTCGGCTTGTCTTTATGACTGGTTGTGAGGATGTGATCTGCTCGGCTTGTAACCCTGTCATATCGCATGGTCAAGTCTTCCGCTGTGTTTATCTCTACCTGTGCGGTGTGATACTCCTATCCTCTCCCCTTCCTTCTGTGTATGTATGGGCATACCTGGNTGTGTGTGTGTGTGTGTGTGTGTGTGTGTGTGTGTGTGTGTGTGTGTGTGTGTGTGTGTGTGTGTGTGTGTGTGTGTGTGTGTGTCTAGCGCGCTTGCCTGTACTCTACTCCATCCACTTAGCCACTGACATGCTTTGAATCTTTGACAATGAAGGCAGCCAGCCAAATGGCAAATTTTCAATCCTGACTTAACAAAGTTCAAAGTGAGCCAACCAATAGGCACCTTGGTATTCGCTATTTGCTATTGACTGGTTGACTTCAATGCCAGAAATCGACCAGGCAATAGCCACCTTGCTATTCGCAATTTGCCATTGCCTGGCTAACTTCAATGTCAGGAATCGGCCAGCTGATAGGCACCTTACCGTGGCTGACATCGACTTCCGCCAGGCAATAGCAAATGGCAAGGTATGTTATTTTCAGTGTTCAGGTTTTCAAGTTGAAGTCAGTTAAAGACTTTTTTAAGACTCTTACTGAGTCTTACAAAACCAAAAATACCTTCATTGTGTGCACGTAAGCTAAGCCTTGTGCGCTCACGCTCATCGGATAGCTGTTGATCACGCTGCCAGATCTGTAGAAGGAGCTCCTCTTCCCGACTGCGGTGTTGCAGGCATAGCTGTGACATATCATGAGATAAACTTTCCAACCTCTGGAGAAGTACAATCTCGGTTCCAGAGAAGCTCACACCCTTTGATCCAGTTCTTTGTTTCATCGCAGTCGTTAGCTCCTGACCAACCACAACAAACGAAGCCAAACAGCCTTTTAGAAGCATAATCCGTGTGCCAAATTCACATGACCTTATTCCCCCTCCTCCTCCTCCCCCTCCTCCCCCTCCCCCCCCTCCCCATCCCCCTGCTCTTCTTCTCTTCTTTCTTTGTCTTCTTCCTTGTTCCTCGTTTGCTCTTCGGTGTTCCTTATTCCTTCTTCCTTTCTTCCTTTCTTCCTCTTTTTTTCTTCCTTCTTTCTTCTTGATCCTTCTTCTTCTTCTTCTTCTTCTTCTTCTTCTTCTTCTTCTTCTTCTTCTTCTTCTTCTTCTTCTTCTTCTGCTTATTCTTCTTCTTCTTGATCCTTCTTCTTCTTCCTTCTTCTTCGTCCTCTTCTTCTTCTTCTTCTTCTGCTGCTG